GCTCCGAGATGATTCTCACGCGGCGCACCTTTGCGTGGACGCTGCGCAAGCGGCGCGAATCGCTCTCCTCCACGGCTTCCGGACGCAACGCGCCGGCCCCGCTATCGACGCTTCTCCGCGGCGCAGCGCCGCTCGCCCCCGCGGCACATCTGCCGCCCGAGGCCGCGCTCTCGCCGGCCACGCCCGTCCCCACCTTCGTGTTCCAGCGCGGCAATGTGTCCTTCAACAACAAGCGCCGCTCCGGCGACCCGCCGCACCGCTACCTCGAGCTCCGCTACGGCCTCGTCGAGCCGCACTCGCCCGTCGCCGCAAACTGCTCCAACCCCCGTGCGTGGGGCGGCCTCAAGGCCTGGTACGAGCGCGCAAAGCGCTGGAAAGTTCTGCATTGCGACTTTCGCGACCCCCTCGTCCTAGGGAGGGAGCGCCGCCGCTTCGTCCCCGGCTTCGTCCCCGACGACCCCGACCCCGACCCCGACCCCGACCTCGACCCCGACCCCGACCATGCGGGCAATGCCGCGGGTGCGGGTGGGGGTGCGGATAGAGATGCGGATGTGGGATCGGAGCCATCACAAGGACCGGCGCGACGCTTGCTGACGGGCGGCGGGGTGCCGGCCGTAGTGCAGGGCAGCTGGGCACGCGCGCTGGGGCAGTCGCCGCGAGTTATCGTGATCGGCGACGTGCACGGGTGCATCACCGAGCTGCAGGAGCTGCTGCGCCTGGCAGACTACCAGCCGGGCGACCAGGTGGTGATGCTGGGCGACCTGGTGGCCAAGGGGCCTGACAGCGTGGGCGTGGTGCAGCTGGCGCGCGAGATCGGGGCGCGCACCGTGCGCGGGAACCACGACTTCGAGGTGGTGCGCTGGTGGGAGGCGCACGCGCGCGGGGACCGCCGCGCCATGGTGTCCATGGAGCACGCGCGCATCGCGCGCGGCCTCGGCGAGGCCGAGCACGCGTGGCTCGTCGAGGCGCCGTGGTTCATCGAATGCGCGGAGATGGGGCATCTGTTCGTGCACGCGGGCTTCATACCGGGCGTCAAGCTCACGCAGCAGAACCCTCGGCTCATGATGAACATGCGCAGCGTGCTGCACGACGGCACCGTGACGGCGAAGAACGTCCCCGACTGCGAGTGGGCAAAGCTGTGGCGCGGGCCGCAGACGGTCGTGTTTGGACATGACGCGTTTCGAGGTCTGCAGCAGTACGAGTTTGCGATGGGCATCGATACGGGCTGCGTGTATGGCGGCCGCCTTACCGCGCTGCTGCTGCCGGAGAATCGGCTCGTGAGCGTCGCCGCCAAGAGGGCGTATATCTCGCCAAAGAAGTTTAGAGGCTTTGGGAAGGGCTGAGTTTGCGACATGCAGAGGTTGCGGAGATTAAAGAGAACGCTTTTGTGTACAGAAGGTATCGTGCCGTCATATTGTCCGGGAAGTGCCCGCCAGCACGTAGTAAAATAGCGTACACTACGCTCGCTATTATCGCAGGCACGACGTCATCCACAGGCGACACTGTGAGATTAATCACTCAAACAAGTTCAAAAAGTGTTCATGTCAACCGATGACTCAGCTGATATTTCCATTACCCTGCAATCTCTCTGCATATCCTGCTTCTTCCATTCGCCCGCTTTCCGTCGTCCATCGCCACCAGTGCTTGCTCAAGCCTTTTTCTATCTCCTATTGTCCCGTTGACAAATGGACCTCAAAACTCGATCCTTGCGTTCTCCGCGCTTCTATTCTATGCATTCAATAAGAATGCGAAATCATTGAAGGGGAAGGGCAGCACTGCCAATGGAAGTAACTTTTGCGTTGCGCTCAGACCACATCTCTGTAAGAACTGCCGTGCTTTCGCAGTCATGTTGGGAAAGTCTGTCGAGGATGCGCTTCTGAGCGCAGAGTACCTGGAAACCATGTTCCTTTGAGTACTTCCGAATTCATTGCCCTACACAGTTGATATATACACACTTTAAGTTTGAAAGTTTTTATTGAGGTTTACAAAAGTCTTGAAAATGTTTAAACCCCAAGTCTTCGTCTTGTACAGAACTGAAGATATTCGTAGTTTTACGATGGCTGAATGGTCAGTGGGACATCAGCTGAACAGGATCCAACACGCTAAACAGGACGAATCAAACATTAAAAGGACGAAAGAATCAAAAGGAAAACAAAAGAAAGAGAAGACATGAGGAAAAAGGAGACACGACACGAGGGCGGCAGAGCCGGGGATGGGTGGGAGAGAAATAGACATGGGGAGGAGAGGAAGCGGGGTAGGACAGCTCGACCCTCCTACTTATGCATGGATGTATGGGTCGGCGGCGAGGCGGGTACAGCGAGACGCCAGGCTGCCTGTAAGTGCTTACAGACGCGCTCAATTTGTCGTGGAGTATACACTGACGCGTACAGTTGTTAGAAGAGAATGTTTCTTACGTGCCCCTTTTATTTTGGAGTTTTCCTTCCACACCCCTTTTTATGAGCCCCATTTGTTAGGAGCGCTACCCTTCGAAGGGTAGATTGAATACGTGAGGAGGTGAAGAGGGCGTCGCAAAAATGAGTTTGATCAAAGGGGGCATGTTCCCTGACAAGCACAGAATCTTGATGGCATCCTTGGCCTTGTGCGCCACCGTGGGCCGATCTCACACGGTAAAAAAGTCAGACTCTGGGCGCCTGCGAGTACAGTGCCCCTCCCAAGAGTGCTCATACATCGCGAACGCCCAACCAGACCGCAGGGTAAACAACGGCTTGTGGAAACTGGAGACGCAGCACCTCAACGAAAGTCGCGTTGCTCTGCATATGGTCAAGCTGGGCACTACGCTACGACTTGCAAAGCCCCAGCACTGTGTACAGTGTCTCCTACGATATAGTGCTATAGTGTGACATGCCTCTAGCTATGGCACTATTGGGGGGATGGCACTATAGAAAGGAGGCTCAAATACATATATTTGCGGACAAAGCACACTGCTAACACAAACACAACAAAGCCTGTATAACACTGTAGATAATTGCAGTGTCCTTCCAGCAGTGTCCTTCCAGCAGTGTCCTTCCAGCAGTGTTCTTCAAGCAAAAGGGCGGGGGCATGTTGGGGCCTTACGGATTTAACTCAAATCAGGGATGTGAGAGTTGTGCTCTGTGCGCTCGTGTGATATCGCACCCCGATCGCGACGTGCACACCACAGTACTTAGCACGAAGTCAGCTTCCTCGTTCCTGATCGTCAGAGTAGTAGGAAGTTTGCAGTGATCGACACGGTCTCATTGCCACGCCAAGGTCGCAGCCTTAGCCTTTCCTCGAGCTCAATAAACTACCCCCGTTTTCCCCAACCACCTTTTCCCGTAGCGCATCTATCGTACGTGCTATTCCAGCTTCGGATTGTACCGATCGCCACGCACGTTGTGTAGTTTCTCTCGAGTTCCGCGACAAACACAACTAAATAACTTCATCCTTTGAGTACTGAACCACGCCGGATGATACACGTGTGAGCGTATGATAACCTGTGCCAGAGGGTGAACCATAGCACTATATAGAGGGAAGCACTACTAAAGTAGGCACTATTGAGCGACCCCCCCTGTACCTCTACCGGAAAGTCGTTCGGGAGTCAGGTAAAGAAAGGGGTAGGTAAGAAAAATTCCAAGGTAAAAAGGGTACGTAAGAAAAAATCTCTTGTTAGAATCACACGTGACTATGCGCGATATACAGTGCGCGAAACTGTAATAAATACACCCATCGACAAGGATCAATCTGACAATTCGTGACCAGTCCATCCACCAACAGCCACGAATGCGGGTCTGACACGCGCCAATAATAACGCATATCAATCAAGAATATAGATACAGCGCACCACTGTCGAGATATCTTTAAAAACCCGAGCGCAATTGTTATAAATACGCGAAATATGATATGACACAAAACATAAAGGAGCATTTAATACTTTGTTGCACCACCCCGCGCATCCATGACAGCATGCATACGACGGGGTAGGCTCTTGTACAGCTTTAAAAGAAGGTCCGACCCCACTGTAGACCAAGCCTCTTCAATGGCATCCTTCAACTCTCTAACATTCTGATAATGTCTGCCTCTTGCGTACACCACTCTAGCCATGACTCCCCAGACATTCTCGATAATATTCATGTCTGGGGACTTAGGAGGCCACGGTAGAGTCCTTATAGAATGGCCAGAGAGCCAAGTTCTTGTAAAATTTGAAGTATGAATCGGGGCATTGTCCTGCTGGAACACCCAACCCTGCCCTTCCCCAAATACCTCTGAGCTAAATGGCAGTAAACCGTGGCGCAAAACATCAACATACTTAGTAGAATCCTGTCTTCCATCCATAAAAACAATAGGAGAAACACCATATAAACTAATGGCACCCCACACCATAACCGAAAATCCCCCATTCTGTCGCTTAGAAAAAATTCGCTCTTTGGTGCGGAGATCATGCCAGTACGAGGCAAAACCATCAGGACCATCACCATTGAACTTTTTCTCATCGCTAAAGACCACAGTATTCCAAAACTCTTCACCCTTGCTTATGAATCTACGGCACCACTTGACCCTATTCTCTTTATGCTGAGGGGTCATCTGTGGTGCCGTGATCATTTTTCTATACTTGAGATAGGTCACAGCGCTCAGTATTTGTTGAACGCGTCTGTGCCTAATTGGCAGTTTGAGCTCAGCCTGAATACCTCTCGCGCTTTCCTCTGCTTTTAAAGCCATCCTGATTATAGCCCTCTTCTGCGTCTCTGAGATCTTCTGATTTCCTTTCCAGTGTTTAGGATGTTTGTGGTTAAACCCCAGCCTAATTACACTCTGTACGGCTCCTACGGAGCGATTGACAGCTTCCGCAATGCTCCTGAATGAAATGCATTCCTTGTGGAGAGCCAAGATCTGGCCACGCTCAAGATCGGTTATTGCGGGGCCCCGAGGCATTTCTTCTTTGTTCTGGATAGTTGAGTTGTATTGATATGGTAAAGGAGCAGTTGCAGTTTACGTTGGGATGTTTTGAGGCTTATATAGCGCTTTGCGGTCCTCTTTTGGCGCCCTAAAGGTACTGTGCTTTATGGTATTTCGCGTATGTATGCCAGTTTCGCGCGACTTTGCGGAGCTAACTCCAAAACCGTGTCCACGTACAACTGTCGGGCTCTACAAATGTCTATTCCTTGATGTCCTGGTACTGTACGGGGGGCGATGCTTTAAAAGGGCAATCGGGGATGTTGTTTACGTGGTGGTCGATGGGTGTATTTATTGCAGTTTCGCGCACTGTACTGTGCGCAAGTGTGTCAGCCACGGGACGAGCACGCAACTCACAATCGGACTTTATCCGAGCAATTGGAGATGCTCTGAGGGATGACAGACCGCACACGGGTAGAGATGACAAAAGCAGCATAAATAGGAAACTGTGAAAGGCGAGAATAAAGAAAGGAGGAGCATCGTTCCCACAGGTTATGAGCCCATACGCCCACGACAGCGATCAAATCCTCACCACCCCCTACCACCTTTCCCCAGCCACCACGGCTTCCTCTACCACTAACCGACTCCGCCGCTTACAACGCGGCACAGCACAAGCCGAAGCAACCGCAGAAATACAAGAGCTACTCCGCCTAGCTAACCTCAATCAATCAGACGACCACTGCCCACTCGACTCAACAAAGAACGCCATGGACAACCACAGCAACAAGATCCAGCTCCCAACTCTCGACCCTGACAATCATAACACCTGAAGCCTTGCTCTCCGTGCACAAGCAGCGGCTATGGGAGCTCAAGCACATATCACCACCAATCCTCCTCCCCAGACAGATCCCGCCGCCCTAAACACACACATCAGACACAAAAACACAATATTGGCTTCAATCCTCGTCTCTGTTCCCCAATCGATCCTTAACCTCCTCATCGAACCCGATTCCAACCCAACTCCCCACGATCTCATCCAAGACATCCACAAACACCTGGAGACCAACACTTCCGAAGACCACAAGTTCTTGAAATCACAGGCAGAATCCACCATCCTAACCCCTGACATGTCGATCACTGACTACGTCACAGCCCACGAAGCCATCCGATCAAAAATGATCGCATCTAGATTCCCTGATATTGGTGATCAATCTACCACGGTTGAGTTTCTGATAGACGGTATGCGTCACCACCCCACCACCGCTGAAATCGGCAGACAACTACTCAGCTTAAACCCCAAGACGATCAATGATTATTTGCATAAGTATATGCGAATCCAAAACTACAATGCCTTCACTCGCCAAATCATACCCACGCCCCAGGGCATGACACCGAACAACCACCCTGCCCAACAACAGCACACGCCATACCACCAGCCCCGCACATGGAACCGCACTCCGCTCCCACCCCACCCCAACCCGTGTCAATTCCATGTCGCCAGGGGCACACGCCCGCAACACTCAGACCTCGAATGCAACCATCCTGCACACCCACGCCACCGCGCAGCACAACCCTCACAAACACCGAAAAAGACGAGACACACATACGCTCAAGCCCGTTTTACACAACCTGCACCGC